TGCGATCTACTGTGGCAACTTGCACTTATGCCTGTCAGATATTGTTGCAAAAGTATTCTGCTCTTTTAACTGTTGTCTCCACATATCAAAATTAGATGTGTTTGGGAGCAGGGACAGAAGTAAGATCAATCATGCTAACAACTAACACAGATGTGTATAACACCATCCACAGGCAGCAACAGACAGGCAGGGCTGGTTAATACTGTCCTCCAGGTTGACTGAAAAGCGCCTTTCTTTTTGGAGTTCATAAAACGCCTCTTCTCCACTCATTAGTGTCCTATTTACAAACACAGCCTTGTGGGACTTAGCCAGAGGTGCATCCCTCACAAAGACAACCACAGTTGCACATTAGAGTTCATCCCCTTTGGGGCTTTCTCAGCACAAAACATGTGGCACTGCTAAAAATACTTGCTTTTGAATCATTCACGGCATACACTATTTAGAGAGCTCATGCATACTCATGACCCTATGCAAATATGTATCATCAGACTTTGACTAGTAGGGAATTCAATTAATGGAATAACAAGGGCTGCATCGTGAGCGGCTTTGATATATTGTGCTTCAACAAACAAGAATTAAGCAGGGGCATGCAGGGTCAATTACCTTTAATCAAAGTCTCTTTAATACTTTTCATCTTCCCACAAAACATGGTTTTACGTCTGTTTTCCCCCGATAAATAATTAAAGTTTTACTGAAGATTGCGCTAGTTTTCACAGCACTCACCTTCCACTCACTGATGGATCAGAACTCAACTGAAGGGGCCGCCATAAAGTTTGAAGTGGTCAACACTTTACTGAAATAGTTGATCCCCACCACAGCAACACGTATGTACACACTTACAAAAATCTTTAGACCGAATTGGCACATGGACAACATTGGGACGTAAGGGACAGGTACTGTCATAACCATGTGCTTTAAATGTTTCTGTGTCAGTTCTATTAAGATCACTAACTATTAGGAATTGTCTGTTCATAGATGTTGTCCAATTTTTCAGATGCTCAAGTTAGAAAATATTGTGTTAAACCCCTTTAAAGAGAATAATCAAGCTTAAAGTGGTACTAAAAGAAAGGCCATTGATGATAAAAAACAATAAAATAAAACAGGAACAAAATTGCATGTCTGCACGTCAAAAATAATCTCTTAACCACTTAACATTTGCAGACATCACAAGGACTTGGGCTGTCTCAGTCCATGCTCTTGTACTATAGAGAGTGTGAAGGACAAACAACCACCCCAAAAGCCTACATACACATTTATACAGAAGATATAGATCAAATAAACATTGGTCTGATTGCTGCCAACTGATTGCTGTGGTCAGTTATTTTATTTATTACAATGAGGCACAGTAGACAAAGTGCAGATCTAATTAATGAAACGGAGACAAATACATGCTCCTTTGAGTCAAGCAATGTTTTTTGTACATTTGTTTTGTCATTACATTGTTGCATTTGATCAGATTCACAAAAGAAAATCAAAAAAACAGCAGCATCAATATACATTACCTGCCATTGAAAACACATATTGGTCGACCTCTACTCTCTACTGCTCCCTCCGCTCACTGATGTATATTTAAATACAAACACATACATACAGGGAAGTCACATCTTCTCCACAGAGAGCTCCTACTCTCATTCCGATAAAGCCAGCTCATTAAAGAAATATACACAACCTACATTATATTTAATGTAATGTAAGTTGGTAATGGAAAGTGTTTTTTGACAAGTGGTTCATTACAGTACATAAAGCTCAGAGTAGCTGCGGTTCCAAATGGTGATATAGTTTTTTATCAAATATATCTGACATTTAAACTTATTTTGTATTTTTTATGTTGGTGTGTGTTAGGAAACACGTTTTAGTTCATGTGCCTCAGCATGGGGAGTAAAGGTATGAACTGGCACAGAAAGAATAACCAAATAAATCATTTTTAATTAAGTCTACTTTTTGCCACATCCATTCACAATATTTCCACCAGGGTGCCCAGCATTGAACTCCTGAGACTGTCAACTCATTTTTGGACCCAATTTATATATATATATTTCAGTAAAGCACTTGGAAGATTATTAGCCAACATTTTGGGACTTTTTACACTATATTCTGCCTAATTAGGACTGGATCTTGTCAAAGTTCACTAAGTTCACTAGAGCTCATGTTCTCCTTCTAATTTGGAAGTGGACCTCGGTGTCGTCACACAGCACTCAAAGATAAATTGTGCCAGTAGAGTTCCAAAAAGCAACACCAAGTCCTGGCAGTGAGACTTCCTAATTTCCTAATTTAAATAGCATTCAAATAAAATAAAGCATGAATATCTGCCATAGAATATGTGAGGAATAAATAATAAGAACAGTTTGTAATGCTATGCTTTATCAAAGACACTATCCTGACATCCTTCTACAATAAACACTCAAATTGACGCCAGCATCAACAAATGCAGCCCTTTCTACACTGGCCTTCACTATTTACCAACACATGCACCAAAACCCAAACTTCCTGTATAGTTCTTTTGTTAGATTATTAGGAAATGGAGACGGTTCCTACCGCTTTGCTGCTTGAAGGGGTGTGTTCCATCCATTGCTCCATGGGATCCGACTGTGTAGTTGGATGAGACATGCTGCTTGTGTGGAGAGGCAGTGTATGAATGTAAGAGAGTGTGAGACGCTTGCGAGTAGGTTTACCCTACCGTGTGTGTGTGTGTGGGTTCCTATAGTCCATGTCTGTGGGAATGCCATACGGGGCTGTGTCAGGAATATTGGATGAGAGCTGTGACGAGCGAGTGTGTGGAGTGTATTCTTGCTAACCAAGTGTCCCCTATAGGACATCCTCGTAGAATCTAAGTGTCATTAAAGTGTGTATGTGTGCATCCAAATGTGCAGTGAGGCATGACACCAGTTTTTCTCCACACTTCATGCTCTCCAAACACTGAGGAAGCCATTCCTCTTTCTTTGCCTACTCTCATCAACTCCAAATGAGAGGGAAAATGTGTTCTGGTACAGGGTGTCAGATGTTTTATGGAGCACTTCAATTATTCAGCTTTGTTTGCCTTTCAGCATCTTCTTCTCTGCTCCACTGGGATTGCGGAGGCCTGTCACCACACTACCTGTTGTAGTGCTGCCATCTACAGGTGAGAGGTGGTAATGCAGGTGCTCTTACAATAGCATCATCTCCACTACAACAGTTGTTCTCAGGTATTCATCATGTGTATCACAGTTTAAGAAGGGTTTTAGTTGAGCTACACAGCTCAGTTGAAGATTAAACTGATTATAATTGTTTTTAGTTGAAAACAAAGTGAACACTGAAATCAGCCAGACTGAAAACCAGCCGAATCTTTGACTCCACAGGAAGTTGAAAAGGCAGGTGGAAGCACAACTTAAAGGGACTTACGGGTCTAAAATCAAAACACCTTTCTGCAGAGATGTTCATGACTTCTCACAGTTTCACAGAGTACCTGATGTGAGTTTTCTAATTAGAAACTTGAAAAATCCCTAACATAACATTGCAAAAGAGCTCTTTTATGTTAAATGGTTTTCAGAGAAAATGCAGCTTGATTTGTGTTTTCTTCCGTCTTCTATAAATAGCAGACCAAAGCATTTGGAGACACAGCTGGTGCTGATTCCTCCATCTGCACTACAATGTAACTACAGGATGTATCATGGCCTAATGCACATGCATACACACACATACACACACATACACACTAACATACACTAAGGGTTATGTTCTGACCCTGCCAGCTGCACCTAACATACACTAGGTTTATGTGTTACATGATCAACTTTGGATTATTCTCTCCCTAAGTTCCCATCTGGAGATAAAAGAGAGCACAATGTCTCACAGAATATGAAAGCTCATATTGTGCAGGATATACTATTTGAGTGAAGAACAATTCCCTTCCACTGCAATTCCAAATATAAATCAGACAAACTAGTCGAAAGGAGAGAGGTGTTTAAAAACATCCTGTAACAATCTCGAAACCCTTTCTGACATGTGTGATGTCATATTTTCTAAGAAGCTTATGGCACATGTTTTGCTATGTTCATCACAGTCAACAGAATCCCCCAGGAGGTATTGGCTTTCTAAAAAACGGATTTAACAGATGTTTATTTGATTTAACTGATATACAGGAAGCAGTTTGATGAGATGCTAAAAGTTATTTCTGCTGTGAACGCAAATGCATGAACTGACGGACAGGAAGTCTTAAGAAAGTCAATTCTAAAAAAAGACAGAAAGTGAATGAGCGTGTCACTCACTTCTAAGATTATATGTCATATATGTCAATATCTATAACTATAGATTTGAGAAAAATAGAGACTTTCATATAAACCACCTTGTTTGTGTGTGCTTAATGAACAATCACCATGGTAAAAGTTAGAATTAGACTTTCTTTCCTCCAGAAGTCAGATATGGTCTCCTCTTCTGTGTCTCCTCAACTGAATAACTTTGGTAAATAATTTTTTGAGCAGATGTAGAAACGTATATTCTATTTAATTGAAGCCAAATGCAGTAAGCTATAAGAAAGCTATAGGACGTCCACACTGATACTGTAATCAGGAGTGAGACACAACTTCTGACAGAACATCTAAAGAAAGCATTTAGTGTTTACAGCCTGTGAGAGAGAGGAAAAGTGGAATTGGAAAAGAGAGACTAAGGCAATGAAATGTTACTCTGAAGTCAATTACCAGTAATTGAAATATCGCCACACCACCATGCATCACCATCTCATCAGAGCTCAATCAATCTCATTATCATTTGCTTGAGCTGGTGCTACAAAGCCTTATCTCCCCAGGAGGATGTGTCAGATTAAAGTGAGTGGAAGTAGCTGGCAGTCGCTAAGTGCATTAGCTAATGTCCAAGAGCAGCTAAACACAAGTCGAAGGCTATTCAGTACATTTCCACTGAGCTTAAAGTTAGCTATGGACTAGATTGGTTCAGGCCAACATCGTCACAAATTACTCAATCACAACCTTTCACCCTGCGTTGTACTCCACACACAAACTGTGTCCTACCTGTGTGACTTTCTCTGTGACGTGGTGCGTTCGTTTGCAGGGAGCTATGATGTCCATCTCCCCGGAGGGCAGGGCGATGAGAGGGTCAGCTTTGAAATCCACAAAGTTGAGGGTGATGTGCGGGATTTTGGAAATGGCGCGGTAACGCATGAGGTCCGAGTCCGACGTGGAGTTCAAGATGTTCGCCTTACTGTTTACTGCACCTGCAAACACACACGGATAGTAATGTAAAAATTGAAGGGGATACAATACAAAAGGCTGTGTGTTTCTCCAGCTGCTCTTCCTCACCAGTGCTGCCTGGCCGGAAACTGGTGTGGCGGTTCTTTCTGTCCCAGTCCGGCCTCATGGCCTCGATCTCGTCTACGGAGGACGCTCGACGCATGCTGTGAAAGCTCTCCCGCGAGCGGCTGTGACTTAGAGAACAATTGGAGCCTGAGGCGTCCTGGTTTAAGCTGAGGCGGTGGTGGGGCGCTACGCAGGGGGACGACTGGGCGACGGGACCCAGGTGTCTTTGGGGAGCTGGATGAGGGCGTATAGGAGGGTCAGGGCCCAGTAAAGTGTGCTGGTCCTCCTGACGGTCTTCTGGCCAACTCTGTAGAGCTGACCTAGGAAACAAAAAAGGACATAATGCGTATTAACCTCTGGCTTTAAAGGAAGGTGGCTAAATAACGATAAAGAATTAAGCACATTTTGGCCTGGGAAGAACTGTCATGGAAGTATTTACAAAAGGTCCCCAGACCTCTCACTTTAAGATATGTTAGGCCTCATTTTAATGTATTGGGACCATTTTTTTTTTTATTTCTTCTAATTTGTGCTGTATTCTAATTGATAGGATTTTCTTCCCCATTATATTCACAACAAAAGTGCATTTTGGAGGGTTCATTTTAAGGACACTTAAAATCTAAATAAGTTAAAAGTATCTTGTTAAAAAAAATCCACACTAAAGCCAGACAAAAATGTACCAGACATGAGGATTGCAGTACATTTTAAGGTAAGAATTCAAGTATAAATAAGTACCAAGCTCAAATTCCTGTGCATAAACCCTAGGATTCATAATCAGTATTTGGATTAAGGTGCTGCTAACCCACCTCTACATGTAGGTCTCACGCATGTCTTTCATAGGGCCTACCTGCTTCCACTGATATGATCCTGGTGGTTGAGTGGCAAACGAGGAAGAGGAAGGTACTCCCCCAGGCCTAAGGACTCGTGACTGTGGTTGTCTGAAGGTACCGGCAGGGGTGTAGCGGTGGGGATTTTAGCCTCCTCTGAGACGTCCAAAGACACTTTACTGTTGGACAAGGAGCGCAGATTGGGGAGACGCAGCTTGAAGCCTCGTGGACGTCCTGCAGGAGAAGAGGAGGGAAGATGAGTTGCCTGTGTATCAGGTGGATTGTTACACTGTGCCACGAAGGGGGATATGGAGTAGGGAAACGTTGAACTGGACTACTTCAGCTGTTTTCCCCAAGAGTTATCCCTCAACAATATTAAGTGCATCAAACCTTCTCCAAAAAAATACCCAGGATTTACAGGAATAGAATTACTTATCATGAAAAAAGACATCAACGGATGATCCGGGTGAATTGGAGTGACGGTTGTCACTTTTCACTGGTTGATCATACTAAGACCACTTTAGTTATTGAAAAGGGAAAGTAAATGGACAGACGGTGCTTGAATGGTTTTAAGCACTGTTTAAAATGTTGTTGTGTCAGCAAAAAGGCAACCTGCTCTACTCTTTTGTACCACTTCTCTTTGTTTCTCACTGAGCTTTTTTTAATGAAATAAATGAAAAAATGTTCAGATATACAGTACTAACAGTGAATGATGAAAAACAGGGATATACTGTAGAACAATGAGGAAAAACATGAACATTGCTAAGGCATAAGGAACACTTTCTAACAACAATTGTCCAAGCTGTTTAGCATAAAACAAGAAAACAACAACAAGTGAATGAGCCGAGTCAGTAGTTACCGGTGACAAGCCAGGTGGGCAGGCGGTGGTTTAGTTCCTGTTTGCGGGCCAGTTGTATTTCATCAGTCATGCCCTCAAAGTTGAGAATGAACATGATCACCACGCCATCTTCGTTCTTCACTGGCACCACGTCCACCATACACAGGAAGCACTGACCTGCGTGGGAAGAGAGGAAGAGAAAGCTCAATCAGACTGATTGTATTTGGTGGCATTTTATCCAGAACCTCTGACACTGCCAAAAGAGTATATGGTTTCAGAATTGGGATTAAAATGTCAGACCCTGGGAAAGTGATTTTAGGTAACAGTGTAAGTGTAGATAGCAACAGAATGCTCATTCACACACAAAACATACATTGAATTGTTGTTCAAATGACAATTAAAACAACCATTTTGTATTCTAGAAAGGCAGTCAAAATAAGCTGACACACACACACACACACACACACACACACACACACACACACACACACACACACACACACACACACACACACACACACACACACACACACACACACACACACACACACACACACACACACACACACACACACACACACACACACACACACACGGCAGTAACATCTTAATTTAGAACAGTGAATCAATCACAAAATCAATGCAGCTAATGACAAAGGTCATATAGATAATCGTGAAGCATATTTATAACATCCGGAAAAATGCACGAGTGAAAAGTAGTTTTTTAAATTTTAAAGCAGGAGGAATGACGAATAATAAAAAAATATGTTCAAATATCCTCTCACATTCTTCAGCACCTGGCTGTGATTGGTCCTATCTCTTACCTGGGCAGTGGTGGTCAGTTACAACATAAAAAATGAAACGGCAGTTTTTGCAATAAGGAGCGTCTATATCCAAAATGTAATGTTGTACAAGCCAACATGCAGTGTGTATACTGCACGACTGCCTCGATCACCCTCCCGCCTATCATTCATCTCACATCATCACAGGAGAGTGGGCCGAAATCCGATTGGACAACAGCATAATCCCAACACAGGAGGGGGAAAAATGTGAAACACAGGGAATACTAAGGGATTACACCATCTGGCCATATCTAGCAGAGTATATGTGTTTGAATGTGTGTATGTGCACATGTGTACAGTAGGTAGTCATAAGTAAAGCTGCTTTAAACAGCTCTACAGCCTTATAAAGTACAGACATGCGTCACCATTTTAAAATGTTTTAGTCTTTAGGTTTGTATGACAAGATGTTGTTAGAACAACAGAGAATGACAGCGTTAAAAAGTACCTTGAAGAAGAATGCAAAAACATAACATTAAGCATTTAATAAAATTAGGCAGAGCAGGTTTTCTTAAGGAGATGTTTTTATCAATAGTGGACATGTTTCGGGGAAAAACAGCAAAAATAATTAAACTAAAATATCTCATATTGTCAAACAAATGTAATTGGATTAATGGATTCCTGCCCTGATTCTAATGACTGTCACATTAACAGTAATCTTACAACACTAGTCCTCCGTCTAGAGAGCTTTTATTTTTGATCCTCTTTTGCTAGGTGCATCACGTTCTTGGAACTGTTGTACAGAACATGGAAGACAACACCTCAGAAACACTTTGGAGTTATTACAGGGAGTCATTCCCAGAAGCAGCCGCTGTTTATTTACTCAGCAGCCTCCCAAACTGTAAAAGCAGCAAGCTGTGAGTGTTCCTGTAAAGACACAGTGCTGTGTTTTGTGGATGGCAGATGTGAGTTTCACACACACACACACACACACACACACACACACACACACACACACACACACACACACACACACACACACACACACACACACACACACACACACACACACACACACACACACACACACACACACACACACACACACACACACACACACACACTACAATCCAGGATTAAATGTCAACACAAGAGGATTTAACTACAGTTCATTTTTAAAGTCCAATAAATTATAAAACAACGTTATTATTGTCAGTTCTAAGAAGTCTAGAACACTGAGGTCACTCGTGGTCGTGTTCCACTTCTCTGATCTGTTGTCCAATAATCATTCATCCATGCACACACATATTTTAAGCGCATGAAAGATGTTGATGTTGTTGACCATCCTACTTCTTTCCCTCCGAGAGCATCAGAAAATGATTGATCTCAGAGGTTTACAGTTCAAACAATATTTCAACAGAATGCTCCGCTTGGATATTTTCCAATTTAGCTTGTAGTAGCTGATAATCTGATTCAGGGTCTGCTCTTTATGGAGCTTGGGGAGATTATCACAATGCACTAAAACACATCCAAAAAAGCACAGAGTGCAGACTGCTCATGTCGGACCATGTAAGGTCCATTGATTATACAACACAGTATGCAGCTAGAGGGGAAAACAGAATGCCAAACCTTTTTTCTCTTTTTTTTTTAGAAAGCTTGGAACAAAAGGGTTTGCACCAAAACAATAGCTCTGTCTATTGTAGATGCTATTGCTTTTGTAAATGAGTGAGAAACTGAGAACGTGTATCAGTTGTCAGGCTAGATTATTGGACATTCAAAAAAGACATTGGCAAAAAAAGACTGCTATCACTTTAGCAAAAAATGTATCTGACTATAATAAACTATGTAATTCTCAACTTCATATTGTCTACCAGGAAGGATTCAAGTATTTTAGATTCAGGGATTAAAAAACAACTGAGTTACACAACAGGTATAGCACCCAATCAGCCATGTGGATTTGCTGAGGCTCTTTACAATCTACAGTATGACTGACGTTATATAACTGAAATTAGGCATCTAGCAAGCAAGCAAGAAAGGACATGTGAAATGAATGCAATGCAGAAATAGATGAAGGCTAAAAAAGATGGGACAAAAAGGTGGAATGGCTGTTAAACTGAAGAATAATATACATAACGGAAAAAGAGGGGAAAGAGCAAACAAAGGATGGAAAGAGAAGTGAAAAAGGGGAATTGAAAAAGAATCCATAAGAAAAACAAAGAAATAGAGAAAAAAATTAATTGATTTTTAGTTGCATTGCATTTCGTAAAGACATGATTAGACTATCTACTCGGTGTGATTATAACGGAGAGAAACCAGCGTACTGTAAAGGGAAGGTGGGAAGGATGGGCTCTTCAGGAACATCTTTCTTCCAGCTGAGCAGGAGATGAGAGGATTAGAGAGCAGTAAACAGAGGCTTGATTAACCTGATGTAAAACACCATATAACGCCTTCCTGAAACTGCCTTCACTGCCACAGAGCATCCTGCAATGTGCTGCTGGATTAGAAATTAGAAGCATAATCTCAGAGCAAGTGGATTAAGGAGAAAGAGATTAGAGATTGATAAACCAGCAAAATCCTCACTAAGAGTCTAAGAGTCCCTTGGTTTAGAATTAAATACAAATATCTAGCATATCAGAGTTACCTACTGTATTTTAATTATAAAAGATTCAGTATTTATAAAAATGATATATTATTTTATGAATGACTTTCTGCAAACATACTACTACAGCCAAAATATGCTGTTTTAGATTTTCTTAAATATTTGTTAAATCATAATACATGCTTATTTATAAAATAATGTCTATTGTTGTTCGTATCAATGTAGTTCTGTTGATTCTTGAAGTTTTTTTCTCTTTCTACTTCCTCAGAAATTGAGTGAATCCAATGTAGAAATGTTTAAATGAACAAGTAGAAGAGTTGCGTATACAGCATGTGCACTTATACGAAATCAAAGTCGCACTGTAAACATAAATATACAAAGATCTTGACATTAAGCAACACACTATTTTGTTCAGGCACTGCACCTGGTGAGTGACAGTCAATGCCAACTGCGTTACATACATGTCAATTCAGCACTATAGACTTCTTGGTTTCCCATTTACTTTAAATAATAAATAAGGACTGTTTTCAAAAGGTTTGAAAGGGTGACACCATTTCAGCATAAGCCCCCAAAACACTTTATCAATACCATCTGGAGCATGGGGGCTTCCCTGTGCAGCTGTGCATCCACTCCCCCTGCTGGACAACAGCGCTCTCTGCACACTTGTACATCACAGGCTACAGAAAAAAAAATGTTTTGAATGTCTATATGAGTGAATTCGTGAAGCTGATCATCACCATCTCATAAGAAAATGGGAACATGCCAGCTTTCCAGAGCACAAAATATAGTCCAGCTTTTAATACTGTACGTTTTTGTCAAAGAGTGTCACTTACATAACCCACAGCTGTTGCTACTCACGCACAATGAGAATGGGTGTGTTTATTCTATGTGAGTGCTAGTACAGTACGTATCTGTGTTTCCATCAGGACCGGGATTTCACATCTGAAAATCACAAGTTCATGGATACTGTCCATTAATAACAATTGAAAGGGGGGGGGGGGGGGCATGTGTCTGTGAGATGTATGAGGATGAGGATGTGAGATTTTACTCAGCCGCTCTGTTCTGTATCACTCACACATACACACACACGGTGACAAAGTGACAGTTGAATGGAAGAGGAGGAGATTCTCATTCACGGACACATTCTCCTCCGCTCCATCACTTTTTGGCGGGAAAAAAAAGTGCAGATCTTCATATCCACTGAGACGGCTTTAAATATTCTACAAGCCGACTGGCTGGAGGCCAACTGGACAAGCTCGATGTGTTCCTGGTTATATTCAGAGCCAGGGAAACGCTGCTTAAATCCAAAACACTCAAGTCAAGCTGACAAAGCCCTTGCGTAATTGCCTGAAAGTGTCATTCATCAGAAGGAAAATACAATAAAGAAAGTGGAATTAAATAAGAATGGCACTGGATAGGCATCACAGGACCTCGACCAATCAATCTGCACATGACTGAAGAATCTGTAGGCAACAGGACACGGACAGGATTCTTGGTATCAGCTGCATATTTTAGCACGACCAATCTTGTTTCAGCGGGTTTTGGTTGTATTCAGGTTAAAAGTCTGTGTGGAGAGCAAAAGATTGATTATTAAGCAGTGTGAATGATGCTCTTTTGTGTACTCTATGACCTCTGACTTGCTGGAAGTGAGCATTAGAAAAAGGGAATTTCCCTTTGGACATTAAGGGTATTTACTTTTGTTTCATAAGTCAGAACGAGGCCTGATCGACCTGACCCCGTCTCATCCTGAGAGGGAGTCCCTGCAGCACCCCGAGTCATTTCCTGTTACCTTGATCACT